ATTAGGGATGGACAATAAATGCTGCCTGGTCAGTGAAGTCCTCATCCTGTGAATGAATTATAAGAAAAATAAATGCAGATAAGAAAGGAGAGACCCCTTGGGTGGAATTCCATGGTGATGACGCAAACTGGATGGAGAAATGTTTGCAGAAATATTTAGGCTGTGATTCAATAGATAACTATGGGAACAGGTGGGAGGGCAATCTTGAGGTAGACCGTGGAGGAGAGGCATTACAAGACGATGCTGTGCTTCCCTCCCCCGCTGAAAGCTACGATTTTGAGGAGAATTGGGAGAGATAATTCACCATGACTACATTCAGGAAAAAGTGCTGTTCATGATGTTGGATATGAATACAGCTAAAGAAATTTAGATGAATAAGGTTTGAGATAATTCTTTATTTCAGCAATTCTGAGGTTCAAACAGGAACTCAGCACCCACTGCTTCTGCCAGTGCATGTACACTTTTTCCAGTTTCTGATCTCATTGGTGTACACCAGGTATCTGTAAACTGCCCCAATTCCTTGAACTTCCCCCTACTCCCTTCAACAGTCCTTTTGTTGCTAGCCTAAGGGAGCAGTAGAGGGTTCCAGGGGTGGAAAGTTGAAGCGTGAGGAATGAAAAAGTGCAGTAGAGGGGATAGGAAGGAATGTGAAAAGGGCAGCAGTAAAGTGAGATGGGAGAGAGAAGCAATAGTATTGTGTGTGCTTTTCTGTCTGTCCTTGACATACTGTTCTACAAATTGTCACAAATTTTATAAATGTATAAAATCCCAAAAAGACCACCAAGCCCAATTTGGTTTGACTGACTGCTACCCAAGACAAAAACATACTAAACCAGGTTTTCCTCAGTAACTGTAAAAATAATTCTAACAAATACAGTGAAAGAAAATTCTAATATATGAAACTAAAATGATACCCTTTCAAACACACACATAATCATGTTTAAGATAGACAAAAGTCAAACTGTTTATAAATATATTACGGATGGAAAAAGAATATATACGATGTAAACAAAATTCTGAAGATCAGAAGTCCAGACCATGAAGCACAAAGTCCTTTTTGTTCTCAGACCTTTGGATTTTTGCAATGATGAGATGCTGTTGTCTGTTTAAAAATGGTGATGTGTTTCATGATCAGGAAAACACACAACACACAACATACAATACAACACAAAAATTACTGTGCTTCATCCTCATTCATTCCCTGTACAATATTTGAACAATGTCCTATCATTTACTTCCCCAATTCATAAACTGCATTAGTACAATTGCATTCTGGATACTGTGTCAGCCACTGTATTTGCTCTTGTGGCAATTTTAATAAGAATGGCTTAACAAGTAAATAGTAGATTCTTGAATTTTCAGTGTTTAATTTCTGCACAAAAACAATTGGCTTATGGTCAATATATATTAGTGTTTCTTTGCAACCATAACTCACATAGATTTCAAAACATTGAAGAGCCATGATAATTGTAAATCTCCTTTTATGCTGTAGAGTGCTTCTTCTGATATTGATTTACGTTCTGAAAAAAGTATCCTACTGGCTTCTCTGTCCTCAGTACGTCATTTTGCAGTAAGGTGGCACCTGCCCCCAAGTAACTAGTATCAATTGACATTTTAAAAGGTTTCATAAAATTGGGGACAGCCAACACTGTTTCATTCATCAGGATTGCCTTCGGTTTCTCAAAGGCTGCTTGGCACTCTGCTGACCATACCATTATTGCCTGGTTTCATGACAAATCTGCCAAAGGTACAGTTATTATGCTGAGGTTAGACATGCACACTTCAGTTAAAATCCACATTTCCCAAAAACCTCATTATTTTGAGGTTGTAGACATGATCGCCGAGCCGGTGGGTTGTTTGTAAACATTTCGTCACCCTGCTAGGTAACATCATCAGTGGCGGCTCCAGAGAGGCGTTGGTGTTATGTCCTGCTTGTTATTTATATGCCTCGGTTCGCTGGGGTGTTTGGTGCCACTTCTGGTTCTGTTTCTCATTGGTTTGTACACAGGGTCTAATTCAATGAGTTTGTTAATGGAATTCTGGTTGGAATGCCAAGCCTCCAGGAATTCCCTGGCATGTCTCTGTTTGGCTTGTGCGATTATGGATGTGTTGTCCTAGTCGAATTTGTGTCCCTCGTTGTCCGTGTGTAGTGGGACAAGTATCTCTTGGTGGTTGATTGGTGTTCGTGTATCCGTATTGTCAGTTTTCTTCCAGTTTGGCCTATGTAGTGTTTCTCACAGTCCTTGCATGGTATTTTGTATATTACTGCAGTTTTGCTGGTTTTGGGTATGGGATCCTTTACATTCGTCAGTAGCTGTCGTAGGGTGGTTGTTAGTTTTTGGCTACGCTGATACCTAGGGGTCTGAGTAGTCTTGTGGTTGTCTTTAAAATGTCCTTGATGTACGGTAGGGTGATTAGTGAGTCTGGTCGTGTTGTGTCTTCCTGTTGTGGTCTGTTGTACCTAGCAGGGTGACAAAATGTTTGCAACCAAACCCACCAGCTCGACGAGCGTGTCTACAACCTCATCCACAACCCGAGCTACAAATCTTCTCAAACTTTAAACCTCATGATTTTCATTTTAGTATTAGGAATGGAGAATTCCACCAGAGCCTTCACCTTTGCTGTTACTGGCAATGCTTGCTCTTGCTTTATGATATGTCCAAGGGAAGTTGCCCTCACTTTGAAAATTCACTTTTAGCAAGTTTGATTGCTAACCCAGATAACTGTAATTGTTTAGACAGGTCTTCAAGTTGCTTCAGTTTTAACCAGTGTTCCTGTCTATTGCAACATTGTCTAAACTAAACTAAAGTTAGGAACTTCAGCCAAAACTATTAAATTTTTGGATTAAGACTGAGCATATTTAAATCCAAATAGCATGACTTGATATTGATAGAATTCTTTTAGTGTTACAAAGGTGGGTATCTCTTTAGCCTATGATGCTCCTGGCACTTGAGTACCTTTACAATAGATCAACCATAGACTATATAAGATGTCGGAGCAGAAGTTGGCATTCAGCCCATCGAGTCTACTCCTCCATTCAATGAGATTATGGCTGATCTGATAATTTTCAATATCACATTCCAGCATTTTCTTCATAACCCTGATGCTCTTACTGATTAAAAAGCTGTCCATCCTGGCCTCAAATATAATGACCCACCTCAACAGCTCTCTATCGTCAAGAACACCACAGATTCACTACCGTCAGAAGAAATGCCACGTCATCTCTGCCTTAAATGTGCGATCTCTTATTAGGTTATGGCCTTTGATCTGAGAATCTCCCACTCGGGGAAAATAACCTTTCTACACTTACCCTGTCAAGGTATCTAAGTATCGTGTATGTTTCAATCAGTTCTATTCTCGTTCCTCTATATTCCAAAGGTACAGTCTATTCAAACTCTCCTCATCAGACTGTGCTCCTTAGCAAGAAATGAAGCACTGTTGATCCTGTCAATACAATCTTCTAACGGAGGGATTGGGTTTGAATCTGTTTTCGCTAATGCATTTATTTTCTGTAAGCTATGCAAGAATCTGGCTTAAACGCTAATGCTATTGGTAAACTTAGCTTCTGTGGCCGGGCTCAAGACACTTGACAGATATGTTAAAGAAGTCTGAAACTTGGATGGGATGGACTTTGTAAATCATTGCTAAGTCTTTAACTACCAGTGTAATGTAATATATTCTCATTGTTCATTCAGAAATAAACACTTTGTGTTGACTGAATGTGTTCTAATATTTCAGGATGAGAAAATAATTGCATGTAAGGAAATAATTTATGATTGTAAATTAATGAACTGCTGACACATCAGGGTAAATACTGGAATTTTGAGGTAGCATAGTGGAGTGGTTGTCAGCAGCCTTTTTTTTTACTGTATTTGCATTGACCGTAATGCTCATGTTAATAAAACGCATTGAATCCTGTCTGCGTCAAATGTTTTACCTCTGGTGGTAGTTGATAAGTGGAAAAACAAATGAGAATGTTAGGGTACATTGTGTGTTTTATGTGCACAATGAAATTATTCTCTAAGTATCAATGTTGATGCTAGAAACACATTGGTGGTTCACTAAGCAAGTGATTAAAGTAAATTCACATTTGATGATAACGGTTATTAAGTCCCCATTGCAGCTGGGCAGCTTACTCACTGCATTCTTTCTTTTTGAGTTTGTTTCCTTGAAATGGAATTGAATGATCTCGCTATATTACATTTAAATTTTTATCGATGTGCAACAATATGTGAGTTCACCGTGACTATTGTGAACTGGATTGCAATTAAAGTTCTACTTTATTTTAGAGTTTTAAAAGCCAATACATAAAGATAATGTGAAAAATCATGAAGGGTATTTTGGGCAAGCTCTGTTCTGAGACTGTAATTTTTCCATCCCAGGTTTCCTTTAGGCCAGACAATACCATTCACCCTGATGGTATCCGTGCAAATTTTTCACACTAGCTAATAGCACAGGCTACTGGCAGTACACAAAACACTGAAGATCTTGCTTAAAGCATTTAGGGAGATCTGGATCAGTTCCTGAGATCTAGGTTAGAAACAGTGACAAAACTGGTCAGGCTGAATTTGGAAACAGAACCAAGATAGGGCAGAGTGGCTAAACAATGTATCATATTGCGATCATAACCATGTGATAATCTTTGTATACAACTGTTTTTCAGTTGTGGAGACAAGGATTTGCATTGTTTGCTTTTGACTGTGCTCAAGATTTGGTAGGGTACCTACATGGTTATTAAGGCCAATTTGTACCCAGTAGAATCTGCTGCAAATAGCTCCTATGTGGATATGCATATGTAGTGGAACATGAAATACAAATAGCCCTCTTGCACATCTTCAGATGGCATTGATGAGACCTTTCAAACCACTAATACTGTTTGAAGACAACCTTTTGGAGATGATTTTATGCTTTATTTATTTGTACTTTTGCCAAATGCTCATTATAGGCAAAAATGCAGATCTGTACACTTCTCAAACGCTTTATATCTATTTTTATTACAGGATCTGGGATACCTGAGATGAAGACAATCCTTCGTGGAGTGGTGCTAAAAGAATATCTCACTTTAAAAACTTTTGTAGCCAAAGTGATAGGCTTAACGTGTGCATTAGGAAGTGGGATGCCTTTAGGTAAAGAGGTAAGAAACTTAAGCACACATATTTTTGTTTGGGACTTTGGACCATTTAGCCAACAAGTGATTGTTGGTTAAAATTATTGATTTAAAAAGTGGATTGAGTACTGCAAGGATTAATTTCTCAATGTCTAGTGTCCTGTTCAATTTTGTTTGATTGAGGAGTAGATTGTTGGGACATAAACATATCCAAATATTTAAATAAGCTAATTGTTAAATAAATCAGTCCAATTATTAAAACTGTTAACCATATTGGTTTGAGACAATGGGCAGGGAGAATGATTGACACATTCCAACATCTGCTAATATTTATGCATATGGATTTGGATATTTTCCCAGCTCTCTACATTTTTATGAAGTTGTGATAGTGTCCAAGTCTCCAGTCATCTGTACTCCAGGATATCCCTATCTGTCTATCCACTGACGTTTTAAAGCTGATTCTGTACGATGCCTGCAATGATCTGAAAATTTAAAAGTTACACAGAACACTTCGTTCTTTAAAGCTAATGTAATTGGCATTCACTTACATTACTTAAAGCTACAGTTTCTCAGCAAGTAAATGTATATTGTGAAACCCACTGAGACATTAAGTAATGGATTTTTGTCTGGTTCCTTTCCAGGCTATTAGAAAGAAGCTAACATCTGTGGTTACTCAAAAACGGGGATCAATAGTATAATTTCTGAATTGCTTGAAGTATTACTCATTATCATGTCAGAAAGCACTTTGAAACACATACAGAGAGACAAAAAAAACTGGTGTTATGGTTGGAGGGGAAAAATACTGGGAAAACGACAATAGTCCTCAGGATTTGATGGGGTGTTGGTTTTGTTTCCCAACGTCTTCAGTTCTTTGCTGTTTTCCTTTTGGGTTCGTTCACTCCTTCACAGGAGGCACAAAGTGACCAGTGCACAAATTATAAAGTCTCCCTAGCTGTCTTATCAGTTAAAAACAGCAACAGTTTACAGCAGCTGATGGGGAAAAAGCAACTGGCTCTCTTCAGCTTCCGGTCATTACAGAAGAGAAGAGAGACGACCTACCTCTCCCCTCCCCCCCCCACACCCCTCTGCCTTTCTGAAGTCAGAGAGCTTCTTGTTGTATCATTTATACTCAAAAGCTGCTTATCTACCCAGCAACCAATCAGTATTTTTATCAGGCTGATAACCTTTGGTATCCATGAGTGTTAAAGATTACACAAACCAATCATCAACATGTTGCCAGTCAAATCTACCTTTGTATATACACTTTTTCAATCTGTGCTATCAATTTGCACTTTTCCCTACTGCTTGTGAAACAGCTATGTAAATATGCTGCACAAAGAGTTTCAGTAACTTGCTTTTTAACAATATAGCAATTCCTTCCTCATTGTTTTGTCCCAAAACAGTCCTTTGCCCAATTCAGTCCACAATCAAAAATAGAGTAAAATGAAAAAAATGTAGTCTTTACAATGGAAGAGCTGCCAACAGAAATAGTCACAGAGATACCTTTGAGACCATCTTTAGATTAGATTATTTCTCTTTCTGTTCATTATCAGGACTGTCATTAACAAAGCTCATATCTGTTATAGTTAGTGCTAGCCATGGAGATGTTGGCAGAATACAGATATAATTATGTGATGATGATACAATTAAAGGAGAAGTAGGTTCTAATTTTCACGTTGTTTGAGACGGAGGTGAATAAGAATATGGGGGGAAGAAAGACAGATAATGAGGAGAGTGCAAAAAATTTGCATGTGTATCCTGCCACAGGATTCACGTACCACAGAAGATATGTTAGATTTTCCCCAGTGTTTAAAAATACAATGACTTCATCTTGACATCATGACAGAGATACATTGGATGTTGGATGCTCACTTAGTCTTTTCCCCACAGGCACTGCATTATGTGTGATTGCAGTGACGACATCAGCACTTAACTTTTCTGCATCTCAAAGCTTCTAGGCAATCTCTGACATTATTTACTTCAGTCAGTCAACATCTTCTGATATAGAGAGTTGTCTTCTTCATCTGAGTGATGTAATAAAGTCTGTTACCTTTTTGTTGGATGCTATCATTCAGCTACTCTAATATTATCAATTTCAGAGAGACTATTTAAAGAGAATCATCAAATGAGAATGATAACTCACCAGGAAAAATACAACAAATGATCAGAAATACATATTTTTGTTCTTACCTTACTTTTCATTGTGCCATATTGCTACTGCTATTTCTTGTCATAAGAACTAAGAGCAGAAGTAGACCATTCAGCCTCTGGAGCTGAATTGAGGCTGATCTCAACTCCATTTTCCGGCCTGCAGACCATCTCCCTTTTACCCCTCAGTAGTTTAAAATCTGTCTTCCTCCTCCTTGAATTTACTCAATCTCGCAGCATCCAATGGACTCTGGGGTAGTGAATTCCCCAGATTCATGACCCTTTTGAGAAAAGTAATTTCTCCTCAACTCTGTTTTAAATCTGCTATCCCTTATCCCAAAACTATGATCTCTTTCTAGATTGTCCCACAAGAGGAAACATCCTCTCTCTGTCTACTTTCTCATTCTCTTTTTAGAATTTATTTGCCTTAATTAGATCTCTCATTCTTCTAATTACATTACATTCCTCTAATTATGGCTACCCTTTAAACCTAAAACTCTCTGTGCATGATCCCACCCTCTTATCCCACATGGCGTTACCTCATTGTCATTGTAGCTGGGACTTCATCAATGAAGCCCTCAAGGAGTAAGATAGCACTTAACCTGAATGAAATTGAAGAACTTGGTGAAATGGAGAATAAGATGCCAGTTCTGTTGAAGAGTCACACCAGACTCAAAATCTTAAGTCTGTTTTTCTCTCTACTCAGATGCTGCCAAACTTGTTGAGCTTCTCCAGCATTCTCTGTAATTGGCAAACCGGTGAAGTTTTTTAAGGCTGTCACCAGCAGAATAGATGAGGGAAGCAGTGGATGTGCTGTACTTGGACTTTTAGAAGGCTTTTGGTAGGGTCCCACACAGTAGGTTAGTAAACAAAATTAGAACATGTCCTGGCATGGATTGAGGGTTGGAATAAATAGGTCATTCTCATGTTAGTGGGCTATAACTGGTAGGGTACCTAATGATTAGGCCCTAGCTATTCACAATCTGTATCAATAATCTAGATGTGGGTAGGCCTGCAAATGTAATATTTCCAAGTTTGCGGATGACACAAAACTAGCAGGAGATATGATGACAATGCAAAGAGGCTTTAATGGGAAATGGACAGGTTAAGTGAGTGGGCAACAAATTGGCAGATGGAATGCAAATAATGAGGATAAACTAAAGGTTATCTGTGGTACAGCAGGCTTGAAGGGCTGAATATCCTACATCTGCTCCTTTGTTCCTAATCTCACAGAGGTGTACGTGAGATTGTGGGATCCAGTTTCTACAAAGAAATTTTCATTGCTATGATGCTGAGATACTGACCAGATGAGTAAGGCAGTAAGAACTAACTTACCAGAAGGGGAGGGCCAACACTAAAGCAAAATATTGTGGATGATGGAAATCTGAAAAGAAAAGCAGAGAAGACTTTGTTATCATGATTCTTTCCTGGGAATTGGATATTGCTAGCAAGGACAGCATATATTGCCCATGCCTAATTGTGCTTGAGGTGGCATTGGTACTGCACAGCCAACTTGACCCACTGCAGTCCATCCAGTGCAGGCATCCTTGCAGTGCTGTTGGGAAAAGTGTCCTAGGATTTGATCTCTCAGTTGTGGCGGAACGGTGTTCTAGTTTCAAGTTTGGTTGATGTGCAGCCTTGATGGGCATTTTTGGATATAGCAGTGGTGTTCCCATGTATCTGCAGCTATTGTCCTTCTAGATGGTAGAGGTCTGTGTTGGAAAGGTGCTGTCAAAGGGGACTTGGTGAATTGCTGCACTGCATCAAGTACATATTGCTGCCACTGTGAACTTGTGACATAGGGACTGAACATTTACTGTGGTGAATAGGGTACTGATCTAGTGAATTATTTTGTCCTGGACAGTATTGAATTTCTTGTGATGTTGATGCCACACTGATCCAGGAAAATGAGCAATATTCTTTCACAGTCTTGATCTGTGCCTTTTGTAGGTAGTGGACAGGCTTTAGGGGGTCAGAAAGTGAGTTTGGGTGGCACGATGGCTCAGTGCTTAGCACCGCTGTCTCACAGCGCCGGGAACCCAGGTTATAGTCCATCCTCGGAGATTGTCTGTGTGGAGTTTGCACATTCTCCCCTTGTCTGCGTGGGTTTCCTCCCACAGTCCAAAGCTGTGCAATGAGGTGGATTGGCCATGCTAAGTTGCCCCATAGTGTCCAGGGATGTGCAGGCTAGCTGGATTAACCATGGGAAACGTAGGGTTACAAGGATAGGGAAAGGGGATGGGCCTGATGGAATGCTGTCTGGGCAGTTAATGTGGACTCAATGGGCCAAATAGCCTGCTTCCATACAGTAGGGATTCTAGGAAACCTCAAAATTCCCAGTTTCTGACCTGGTCATGTTGTCACTGTATTTATATAACCAGTCCAGTTCAGTTTCTGGACAATGCAAACCCCAGTGTGTTGATGGTGATGGTAACACCATTGAATATTGGGATGAGATGGATAGATTCTCTCTTGTTAGAAATCTTCATCACCTGATAATTGTAGGCACATATGTTTCTTGTCACTTATCGGACTAAGATTAGATGTCATCTAGGTCTTTTTAAATACTGGCACGTGGATGCTTCAGAGAAGGATACTGAACGCTGTGCAATCATCAGCAAGCATCCGCACTCTGACCTTATGATGGAGAGAAGGTCATTGAAGAAACAGTTGAAGATGGTTGAGCCTAGGACACTCCCCTGAGAAATTCCTGCAGGATTGAGGATTCAGGATTAAGATGATTGGGCTTCAACAACCACTGTCTTTCTTTGTGCTAAGTATAACTCCAACCAGTAGGGAATTTTTCGTCTGATTCCATTCACTACAATTATGCCAGGGTTTGCCATATACTGTCAAATGTCCATCAGTTGCATTTAAGT